TCCTTGGAGACAAACTCCCTCCGCTCGGACGAGAGGAACCGCTTCTTCTGCTTCACCGGCCTAGCCTCCGGATTGACTGCCAAGCGGTGACATATGACCTTGGGATCCACCCCCGGCATATCCCCGGGGCCCCACGCAAAGATCATGCGGTAGGCAGAGAGCACGCCCACCAAGCGCTTCCGCTGGCTCCCAGTTAGGCTCGCCCTGACCTTCACCTTCCGCTCGGGTGTCTGAGGGTCGAGCGGCACTTCCTCGACCTCCTCGGTGGGCTCAGCCTTCGGTCGTGCTTCCAGCTTCCGCATTTCCTCCTGTGCGTGCACGACCAACGTCTCATCCCTTGGCAATTTCTTCGTGATACGGACGTAGCACGATCGAGCTAACTTTTGGTCTCCCCTCGCCACCCCGGTTCCCGAAGGAGTGGGAAACTTCATGCACAAGTAGTATGGGGAGATCACACATTCCAAGTCCTCAAGGCCGGACCGTCCTAGGATCATGTTGTGCGCGCAGTTGATGCTTACAACCATGAACTCCATCTTCAGCTTGGCCTTGTGCGCACCATCCCCTACTATCACGGGCATGGCGATGACTCTTTCGGCCTCGATGGAGTCCCCTGTGAACCCGGAGAGTGGAGTGCGCACAGGCCTTAAGTCCTTGCGGTCCAAGCCGAGGTCTTGGAAGGTCTTCTCATACATTATGTTGACCGAGCTTCCCGTGTCCACCAAGGTGCGGTGCACTATGGCATTGTTAATCTCTAGCTTCACGACCAAGGCATCCCGGTGGGGGCTCGGCGTGTTCGGAAGATCCTTCTCCGTGAATTGGATTTGCTCACGTCTTCCGTGCTTGGGCGCCGGCGCCTGATGGACTTTGGCGACGAAGGCCATGTGCTTCCACCTCTTCCTTTGAGCGACGGAGTCCCCGCCAATGTTTCCTCCATGGATGAATCCCACCGGATATCATTGGGCTTCGTCCTCGTCTAGATCATCATACTCTCGCCCAATGTGCCTCTTCTCGGGGTTCCTTGCTTGCGTGGCCACCGCGACCGGTTCGGCCGGCTTTCTCCAAGTTCTTCCTTCTGGTGGCCCCCGAGATGGGGCTGCTCCATCATCTCGGGGAGGCGGCCCTCGGGCGATGAGTCTCTGCATCTCCTTCTGGAGAGTGAAGCATTCCTTAGTGTTATGAGTGTTGTTGCGATGATACTCGCAATACTTGGCACCGCAGGACACCGCATAGGTTTCTACGTGCGGGAGCGAGGAGAGGGCAAGCTCTCGACCCGTCCCCACGGGCGCACCCACGGAGTACACACCAGCCGAAGGCGTCCTCGGGCCCGCGGTGTAATCTTTCTTCTTCTTCCTCTTCTTCGCGGCCTCTCCGGAGTCTGCGGGAGCTCGCTTGGCGGGCGCGGCCTCAGAGTCGGGAGCATCATCGAACTCCTCCAAGGCTAGGAACTTAGCGCGCGCCAAGGTCTCTTGGTACGTGGGGGGAGGATTCTTGCGAAGCTCCTTCCTCACTTCTCCGCGGGGAAGGGCTGCTTGGAACATGGCCACCAACGCTTGGTCATCCGCCCCATGCACGTCTCTGGCTTCCTTTTCCCACCAGACTATGAAGTCGCGGACCTTCTCTCCCTTGCGGATGCATATGTTGAGCAGGTGGGAGTAAGGGAGCCTCTACCTTCGGTTTGCCGCGAAATGCGTCAAGAACTTCTCCGCTAGTGTATCACAATCGTCAATAGTTCTCTTCGGGAGCCGGTTGAACCAATCGCACGCAGAGCCCTCCAGCGTCGCGAGAAAGCATCGACACTTGACATCGTCCGGGACTGCCGCCGCTTCCATAGAAGCATAGAACTTAGACAAATGATCTTGGGGGTCCGTTGTTCCGTTGTAGGCCTTGATCTGCCACGGCCGGAAGTTTGCCGGCAGCGGAACCGACATAACCCCGGAGTGAATGGGGTTACCGTCCGCAAGATAGGTTGGCTGTAGGGAGCCCTGGTCTCCACTCGGCGCTTAAGCTCGGCAATCTCACGTACGAGCCGAGATACTCCTTGGTCAGAGACCTTTGTCTTCTCAGTTCTCGTCGGGCTATGGCGACGCTGGGTGCGCTCCTCCCGCCTCTCTCCGCTCCGCTCGGACCTCGCCGAGCGAGCATCCGATGTTGCGGACTCCTCAGCATGCCTCCGCCTGCCTTCGGCTATTTGTCGGCGGAGGTCGCCCGGGCGAACTTCCGGTCCGCGGTCGAGCCTGTCGAAGGCCGACACCCGGATCTCTTCCCCTCCTAAGCGCCTGAAGGCTGACACTCGGCACTCGCTGGACTCATCGTCCTCCTCATCCAGGACGTCCTCCACAATCACCTCCTCGATCGCCGGGGCCTTGCCGGGCCTCCTACTTCTCTAGGTCTTCTTCCCCTTGTGTTGGGAAGTGGCAGCGTGTTCGGCATGGAGACTGGGCGGAGCTTTGCCAACTCTGGCGCCGGGCACGTTCCCACCCATGGCGGAAAGTTCCGCAACGGCTACCTGGAGCTGCTCCGCGGTCACCCCCAAGCCGAACAGCGCTTGGACCGCGTCCGGAGTCGAGCCGATACCTCCCGTGCCGTTGCCGCTGCCCGGCGCGTTCTCCTCGCCAATGACGTGGCTGGTGGTAGGGACGTTGCTCCTTGTTTGCACCATTCTCGCGTTCGGGAGTTATCCTACGAGTATGTTCCTCTCCTCTCAATGAAAGCACCAATTTGATGGCTATAAACCACCAAGAGTATGAAATAATATAAGTTTTAGAGAGAGAGAGAGAATGCAAAGTAGGAGTATATTGATTCAAATTCGGATCCATTACAATGAGGGGTGACACCCCTTTTATAGGGGGTAAAATAAGCTAAGTCAAAGCTCTCTAATCGATGCCCGTCGTCTAGTGGACATCACCTGTCTTTACGTCTTGTCCCTTTCATCCTATCGCTTTCACCAAGTCTTCGTTGAGCGTCGCTTTCTGCACGTCGTTGTCGCAGGGTTCGTGTAACACCCCAACCCGCGTAACCCAAACCCGTGAGACCGCGGACCGGTGTGCCACTGGATTGGTATCCGAATATACAACATTTTCAAAACAATTTTAAAACAAAAGTTCTTTCAATACATATAAAAATCCATCGGAGTACTTTAAAATAATGCGGAAGCCTTTTTAAAGTCAAACAACTTGGGATCTTGCCCGAAAACATAATAAGCCTTAAAGTTAATTAAATAAAGCATAATCAACAGATTAAAGAGACAGCCACGCCATCGTACATCTCCTCCTCAATGCCCTCTGGGATCGGCTCTAGGTTCATCTGTCTGATCACCTACGGACAGCAAAAAGGAAAACAACGCTATCCGCTCAGCATTGACGCTGAGTGGCACTCCATTGTAGCACAAGAATAAACATAATAATTCAACAATTAAGATCGTGCATATGTTTATCCTTTTAATAAAAATCAATTCAACTTTACATTCGGTTCTTTAGACGGTTGACCAACAGTCAACTTATTTTCTTTCTTTTCAAAACGATTTAGGTGTTACGGGTTTCTCATTAACTCTTTGACCACCGGTCAAACCAATTTAGACTTTCAC